GTGAAAGACCCAGACCATGCAGGCTTTTATCCTTGTCTTCCTTGCTGGAGAAGAGTTGTAACCCAATTTCTGTAGGCACTCTTACATGTGTGCAGCATTGTTGAGCTTCAGCCCAGCTGCCTTAGTATTGTTTTGCTGAGTCCTTGGAAAGAATACCGTGCACATGCCATTATACAAGGGAAAATGCTCTTTACCAGAACATCTGCTGTATAAGACTTTAGAATATACACATATGTGGTTTTGAATTACACCACATATGTAAAAAGGTATGATGTTGCGAGATATCAGAATGAAATACACACCAAAAATATTCAAATTGGAATATAAAACCTCTTAACAAGAGAATACACCTATTACTCACTCTTACATCATTCATACTCTCTCATTGACTTCTTCCTTTCAAGGAACTCTATTAGTACTAATTTATACTGAAACAGAAACAAATAATTATTTCAGGTCATGCACCAGTTTGCTTCAATTTACATAGCAAACACTTTAGGAAACTATCATCTAGGTGGTGTTTCAATGTATCACTACCTAAAAATGTCAACTTTGACTTATTTTTTAAGAGAGAGTGGGCAGCCTTTATTGAGTTCAATGAATCTCATCCACTCTACTCTGGGAAATGACTAAAATAGTTCTACAAGGGGAAATTATTTTATATTCATCACACAAGATAAAGATGGATCAGGAAATTGAAGAATCACTAGAACAGAACCTAGAATACTTTAACTAAACTCGATACTCAATTCCATTGAGCAAACCAAAAAAGAACTTTGAGAAACCAAATTAAGACTTGATAATATTATTAATAACAAAACACAGTTCCAGAGACAGAGACTACGAGTACATTTTTAACAAAACAACTTAAATAACAAAGAGAAAAATTAATTGTCCCAGCAATAAGAAACGATATGGGAAAGGTAGCAAACATTCCAGAAGAAATTAATTCCACATTTGGCACTTTTTAAATCAATTAATATAAATCTAATTAAAATCCCAAGAAAACCGATATGTGTAAAATAAATTTACAATACATGCATCCATATTTAACTTATGCAATGGGAAAATAAATTGACATAATCACCACAGTCATTCCTTACACAATAATATGCTCTCCACCCTTAACATAATCTTATGCTTTCGGTCCTTCCTACTGTACATTTTCAATTATTAACTGTAAGAATGATTATGTCATGCAAGAATCAGTCTGCTTTGTTTTTTTTGTCTGTATGGTTAACAAATATAAAAAAATGAATATAATTATATAGTTATTAATTTCGTTAGATACGCGATTCCATATAATATTCCCTATTAATCAAATTCTAAATGTATGCTTTTGTTTACTCCAATAACGAGCGTATTTGCAGAAAAGGTTTAAACATTGTCACTTTTCACAAAGTATATAAACTTAATATGGTCAGAAGGAGCACGTAAAAACGTTTCCAAAGTAACCCCATTTAAGACTTTGATGCTTAAAATGTTTAGGAAGAAAGTGGAATACTGGTGTGTATTTTTTCTTTAAAATACCAACATCAGCCATATACAGTACAATTTACATACTATGTTTATGTTCCTAAATTAATATCGTTTCCCACAGAAGTAAAACCAATTTCCTTTCAGTTCATAAGATTATTGTGAGACAGCTTCCAATATTCCGTGTAAGACATATCCACATAGAGGATATTTCATCTATTATTTTCTTTGTTAATTTCCCTGATTTTGGATTTCCAGTTCTGTTTCACATGTACTGTAAATTATATTGTGTTATTTCTGCTAAGATCATTTGCCTGCTAACTCCAGCAAAAGCTGTTCCAAAGAGAAATATGAATACAGATGCAGCCATTCAAAATGCGCGGTACAAACCCCTACCACATGCAACTACTCATGTTATACTGTGGTTTGTGATTAGTTGGCCAAAATTACCGACAGGGGCACTCGTGGTGCATTGGTCGGTAGCAAAAAGATTTAATCAGTTAATCTCTTAACTGTGCAGGTTTTAATCCGCTTAGTATTGAATATTTATATGGAATTTTACAACTAAAGGGAAATTTTAGTAGCTGAGCATAAAAAGAAGAGGAGCATAATGCGTCTGATGATCATAAATTGAGCCTGCTTTTGTCAAGCTAATTGAGGGCTCTGTTTAGATCTAATGACAGGTCATCAGCCAACATCATTTATGACTCCTGAGTAAAACGATGACAAAGAGGTACTCAAGAGTAATCACAGTGTGTGCTACCCAGGCTGGTGGAATGGAGCACTGTAAAAAGGAACTCCTTAACAGGAATTTATTTGTAGATAGATATGATAGATAGATACTTTATTGATCCTGTGAGGGCAATTGCAGTGCAACAGCAGTTTAGCACAGTAAACACAGCACAGTGTAACAAAATGATACCATAATACAATACATACAAGGGGCGGAGTGGTGATTCTGTGGCTAAGGATCTGGGCCTGTGGCTGGAAGGTTGCTGGTTCAAATCCCATGGCTGGTAGAGGAATCCCACTCCGTTGGGCTCCTGAGCAAGGCCCTTAACCCCATCTGCTCCAGGGGTGCTGTACAATGGCTGACCCTGTGCTCTGACCCCAAGCTTCTCTCCCTGTCTGTGTGTCTCATGGAGAGCAAGCTGGGCTATGTGAAAAAGGCAAATTCCTAATGCAAGAAGTTGTATATGGCTAATAAAGTGATTTTATACAATACAATCAGTACAGTCAGTGAGAAGTGCACTAAGAAGAGTTGCTCACAGTCCATAATATACAAAGAACAAACCAGAACAGTACACAAAAAGTTGTATTGCACATTATAAATATATTACACAAGTCCCTGGCATATATTGCACAAAAAAACAGTTGTAAATGGGAAATGCCAGATGTAAGTGGAGAGTTTACTGTTTAGTCCACAAACAGGTCAATGTCAATGTTGCCCCTGCCCAAACACAAAGTGGATGAGTTGTACAGTTGTAGTTTTCCAAGGCATCACTGTTTCTTAATGAAATGCGATAGCAAAGCAATGATAGGAACATTGCCTTTTACAGCTCCGGTTGAGTTCTTGATTTGAGATGGGTGGATTCTACAGGTGACTCTCTTTTTTGTTTGCAGGGTGGGAGAAGGCCGGGCCTGCTGGAGCCTTGGTAACGCATATGTGTCTCTGGGCAATCACCGACAGGCTCTGCACTTTGTTAGAAAGCACCTGGAAATCTCTGTTGAGGTAAGACGAAGGTTTGGTCACTTTAAGAGTGAAGTACTGTAACCATCACATTGTCAAGTTGCAATACTTTATTTCTGGTATAATAATACCTAAAAAGCTCCAAGCCACAGTGATCCAATCATTGCTTGAACTGGATTAAAAGCTTCAGCTTAATACTGTTCTGACAAACAGCATGCCATGCAAGCCTTTTTAAAAATATTGTTCGGGTTGGCTCAAGCAGTAATGGAACAGACATGGATGACACTCTAAATTTGATGTCATCAGCTTTCAGAAACTCAGTAGGTCTGGGCCACATTGGTACTGGGATGGGAATCTCCAAGAAAACCAAATTGCTGTAGTAATTTGTATTCTTCCCTCTAGATCGGAATTTCCAAACCCAATGTCCTAGTGTGGTGACCAGGGGGTGTTATGGGGGTGCTGTCCTTTGAATGAGACAATAAACTGAGTATAAAAAAACATGTTTTTTGCTGTAAGAGTATAGGTAATAACCCAGGTGTCCTGTAGTGAAACAATTTAATTCTTCACTGCCTGAACTGCGGTGGGATGCTGGATCAGAATGATTGTACTCTAATTGACACTACCTCTCCCATAACACACTGTGGAGTTTGCACCATTTCAAAAGCTTGGTTTGTTCCCTGTAACTTTGTTACAATCCACAGGCATGTGATTAACTTTGGACAGGACTGAGAAATTTGCTACCTGATCTTCACTCAAGCCCGCTCTGCTTCAGATTATCCAGCAACGGAGCAGGATTTCTCCAGCAAATCTAATTATCATTTGCAGTAATGCACATCACATCCCTCTCCTTAAATGTAATACCCTTTTACTTTATTTTTTAATCTAATTTATACTCCAGATTAAGCAGTCAAAGTGCTTTAAGTGCAGGATGAGCGATTGATAGAATGGGATTGTCCATCAATCCAAAATTCACTTCCTACAGCAATTAGACAAAGCTCAAGGTCTCCTGCTGTTGCTAACAAAACACCTAACACAGAAGCTTTTTAGAACTCAATGGTCAACTTCAGCCTTTAGAATCTTCTTTTTCTTATTTTTAGTATGATGGAGCTTTACAAACCCCATTGTTTATAGGATGCTGCTGTTGACATCAAGATATTACAGCCAAGTACAAGCCAAATACAATTCCTCAATGACAGGTCTGGGAGACTATTTCTCACAACACCTTTCCAAAATCAACACATCACAAAAAGGCAAGGTCTAGGTAGTAGTGTCTAGTCATTACGCAAGTCTACAAGGTGAAGGTGAATTGTAGCAAAGGTGAGACAATTATCAAGTCTTGCAGTCCTGCAGGCTCATCCTGATGTGATTGCTTTTCAGTAGGACAGTCCGTGTGTAACGGTGGCTTTCTTGGAAGATGAAAATGTACTGCTTGCTTTTTATGCCCTACTCACCTACTTTTGTGGGATGAGCCGAGACAGTGTTTGGCATCCAGTGAACAGGCACGATATTTGTCCAGGCTCCATGAGAGGAATAAAACAGAATCCCACTAAACAGCATCTGTAACCAGATCCAAGCAGGTGTTGCTGTATACAGCTTGTGTTTCTTCCAGCTGTGACCACGTACAGTATGCTACAGCTACACTGAAACCCTGTGCCTTTCACTAGACCCCTCTATCCCAAAAATGTTAATCAACATAACAAATTTACCCATGTCAGATTTATTCAATAAAATGTCAGTGCATCTGCTACAAAGGGTTTTGGTTCTGAGAAGTGAATACATTGAATTACAATTACAGTATATAATAATGGATTTTAATCTCCATTTTACAGAAATGTTCACTCAGTAATGATCATTGTTTTCATGCACTTAGTAATGGTAAACACACTGAAGGCTACTATTGCTGTCGTCTCGTTTCAAATACTACGCTGGTGTGAGACGGATAGTCTCACTACATATTTCACAAAACACACAGCCTAATGTGACTAACCCCTTGGTTTAATGATTGGTATCACATTAATTCTTGTGATCTTCGTGCCAAGACCAGAGGTTCCTAATTTGCTTATTTTTTAATATTTGTATTCATTTTTGGATTCTGAGTCATGACTCAGCTTTCTCGGGGAATGACAAAACTTGTTTGCTGGGAACAAAAAGCAAGTCAAGTAAGTTGTCCTTGTACGCACTTGCATTAAAAACTTCCTGGTATGTGGCACCAATCAGATTTTGATCCTTAACATGGATAACATTTGAAGTGAGAATTACCCACTTTGACACTCACTGAATCCACAATCTCCCACTCCTTTTTTCCATATATTTGTTAACTTATGTGGAATATGTTGACTTGTAGCCTCCTGAGCTGTGAATACTGAGGTAGTATTCTTTTAGTTTCTCGAAAAGAGTAGGGGTGTAACCCCGGCGTCCTGGCCAAATTTCCCATTGGCCCTTACCAATCATGGCCTCCTAATAATCTGTCACGAACACGGACTGAAATCCGTGTCAGATCTTGTAGAAGACCCTATGCGATACGGTAAGAGCTGGAGAAAACAGGAGGCATGGTAAAAAGGAACACACAGGGGTTTAATAGTGCACAAAATAATAGTGACCGTCCGTGAGACAGTGTACGGGGAAGACAAAACGGCATCCAAATCCAAACAGGTCCAAGGGCAGGTCAAAGCACAGTCCGAGAGTCCATCAACAAGGAATCCATCCTGGGACGCGACAAAGTT